CAGAGGCTAGGGACACCATTCCTTACCCATCCTGGCTAATAGCCATTAATGGACTTAACTGCCATGAATTTATCTAGTTCTCTTTTAAACCCTGTTATAGTCCTAGCCTTCACAACCTCCTCAGGCAAGGAGTTCCAGAGGTTGACTGTGCGCTGTGTGAAGAAGAGCTTCCTTTTATTTGTTTTATACCTGCTGCCCATTAATTTCATTTGGTGGGAGCTGGGAGGCTCGCGCCAGCTGCAGTGTAGACACACCCTGGCAGGCTCAGTGCTGCTGCTGGCCCAGCTGGGAAAGAGAATGGGGGGTGGCGTGGGGACAGAATCGTGGGGGTGCCCCGGGACCTGGGAGAGGAGAGAGGCCCCAGCCCATCTCTCCCTGTTGTTCTGCCCCTCCAGGAAGCTTGGACACGTACTGGTCTGGCACGGCCCCCATCTGCATGGGGGGCTGCAAAGGGAAACACAAGGAGCTGAAGAGGAGCCAGTGTGGGAACGGCAGCTGCTGCTGGTTGGGATACAAATCCTTCTGTCGAGGTACACGGTGCCAGGGGGAGAGAAAGGAGAGGCTGAGCTTGGTGGGGGAGGGACTGTGCAGGACTGATCTCAACCCAAACAGACTCAGACATGCCTGAATTGGAGGGTGGGGGGGTGGCTGTGAGTGAGGAGGGGAGACTGAGACCAACTATGGCAGCCGCTGTCCCAAGTCCCCCGGAGGCAGGGGATTTTCATGTGTGGGAGGCTGTCTCCTGTAGCAGCCACTGGTGCATTTATTTTGACAAATAGAAATTTGGCTGAAAACATGAATTTTGTGTGTGTCTCTGGAACGATCTGCAAATTTCGGTTGAACTCAATGAATAGCTTCCACGGGGGAAAACCCAGATTTGTTTGAAGTTGAAATGCTTTGTTTAAAGGGGTTGTTCGTTTGTTTCAACGTGGCATTTGGTTCTCAAATTTGTCCAATTTTTTAAAAAAATTGTAAAGGGTGGGGTCGGGGGTGGACATGTCAAATGGTGAATTGAAATGAAAAAATTTCACATCAAGTCAACCCAAAACATTTTGGTTGATTTGAAATGAATTGTTTTATTATTTGATGAGATTTAAAAAAAAAAACAATGGTTTTGGTTCAATTCAAACCTGTTTGTTTTGTGTGTGTATGTGTGTGTATATATATATATATTTGTGTGTGTGTATAGTTTTTATATACACACAACATATACATACATCTCTCTCTATATGACCCTGAAAGCCCTTCTTCTCTCCATCAAAAGCTGTCTTTGGCCTGGAGGATTTTGGGGGCATCTGGGGAGCGAGAAGTATGGGGCATTTCCTGAGGGGCCCCTTGGCAAGGAATTACAGCAGCTGTTGGCATCACAAGGTGTTGACAAGGTTAATGCAACAAGACTGTGTCCTGGAGCAGGCTGGGGGGTTGATGCAACATCTCTGTATCCTTGGCCTCCCGGCATCCGGGAGATGGACCAATGGATCCTCTCTGGGATCTGGAGCATCTACCTACAGCTCCTGGCATCCTAGCATTCATTTAGGTTCCATGTCACGTACCCCGAGCAGTTTACCAGCACTGGTAGCAGATACCCTGGCCATCACGGATCCCAGGAGCTATATACTCTTGTCATCCATAGCGTATGCTATTGCCATCTCTTGGGGATCCAGACCCTATGCCCAGCATGCCCCCTCCCCCGGGATCTGATATGTTCCCTTGGCATCTTTCTGGGGCTGTGGAATTATGCCAGCAGCCCTTGGCACCCCAATGATGCCAGGCATGTACCCATGGCATGCTGCTTTCTGGTGCCCCTTTGGTCTCTGGGGTGGTGGCGATACCTTCACACTTCCAACCTGCACCGTCCACCGGGGACCTTTCTCTTCTCAGTGAACTGCGGGCGGCCAGAGGCAGACTTCAATTCCATGGTCTACGGCAACGACTGGTGGGTGGGCTCTGTGGTGCGCTACGGCTGCCGGCCCGGCTTCCTGCTGGTGGGGGACCCGGCCAGTGCTTGCCAGTCCGATGGCCACTGGACACCTAAACCCACCTGCCTCCGTGAGTACTGCGCCGTGCAGCACCGATGGGCAGTAAAACGGGTAGGATTGGGAGGAGCTAATGTTCCACCCCAGAGGTGGCTGCATCACAGCGGTGGCTGGAGTGCCCCTTATTTGTCAATTTTCCACATGGGAGTCAGCGTAGTCTGCAGGTCTGGCTGCACTGGGTGAGCTCTGTTCAGACATCCCTGATGTGTGGCGGGGAGGGGGCTAATGGAGGAAATACCTCTGCTCCCCCACCCCTCTGCAGTCAGGAGCAGGGGGAGAGTGGAGTGTCGCTCTCCTATCCCAGCCTGGGGCTGCACCATCAGCTTTACCTCGCTCCCTTGGGGGTGTTGCAAGCTCTGGAGAATGTGCTGGGCCTGCCCGGCTTGGGGACCTGTGAGCTAAAAGGCTGCAGGGCAGGTTATTGGAACCCGGGGTGCTGGTGTCATTGGCAGCCTGATGCCTCATCAGCCCTGAGAGACCAGCCCATTGCTCTGGTAACCATGCCCATCCGCATGCTAATAACTCCCAGGCCCTGCTCTCAGTGCCTCCCCCCAGCCCCGGGGTAACAGGGCTGCTGTCTCTCCCCAGCAGGGATATGCCTGCGGGGCCGGATTGAGATTAACGAGCGGGACATCGACGGCAGCTGCTCCTCCACTTGCACGGACAAGGCTCACCTCGGGGCCTTCCTCAGACACGGCTGCATCAAGATCTCCAACTGCGTCACCAAGCAGTGGGGCTGGACCCGCTGGTTCGCGCGCTGTGACTTCTGCGAGTGTGACTGCTACATCCCATGCTGTAAGTGACTCCTCCCTGTCCAGCAGTCAGAGGGAGCTGCCTCCCTAGATAGACAACCTGATGGGACTTCCCTGCTGCTCCCATCCTATTGCAACACAATTGCTGCCCTGTGCTGGGTGGAATGTATTGGACTTGCTCCCCTGTGCATGTGTGATCATGGCACCCCCTAGTGGCTACTCCCCATAGAGTAAAAGCCCTAATGTGCTGCTTCTGATGGAGATTCTCCTTTAGCTGTAGTAGTCAACCCCGGTGTTCTTTGGTCCTAAAGGTCCTGGATTTTATGCCTGACACCGCACGGGTATGGTTTGGCTGGTCTGTTTGTGACCACAGAATTAGTCAATTTCTTTCTTCACCTCTTGTCCTAAACTCTGGTGCATTGTTGGTGCAGGCGGCTTTCAGTTGCCAGGTTCCACCCCAGAGAGGCATGCCCTTTCCAGAGCGCCCCTGAGGGCGGTATCTAAGTAATCTGATCCCACTATGGAAGGGGCTAATGCTTGTCCGTTTTGTGCCTTGTGTAATGCAGAATGACTCTGTTGGCTGCGCTGGCGTTACTCCCCAATTGGCGACTTTTGTTTTGCAGTTGGCTCCATGATCAGAGCAGGAAAGTGAGTTTCGCTCTGCTGCTCTTCGCTGGCCCATGGAGCAGAGGGGGGGCAAGGAGCAGAAGCTAGTCGCGTGCCAGTCCAGATGCGCTCGCGTGGCACCCTTGACTTGACATGGGGCACGTGGGAGGGTGAGGGTCAGGATAATCTAACATCAAACAGCCCATTGTCTGAATGTGTTCTCATTACAGCTTCCTCCGGGTAGAGATCTGGGGCGGATGGATTCGTGGGGAGCTGTTCTGCTGTGAAGGGGAGCTCCGTCCCAGGAGGGACAGCAGCCAGCCTGACGCTCACTGCGCAATAGGCTACCATACTGTGCCTCTCTCCCAATCGGGCCATCCGTCTGTTCCTATCACACTCTTGGCAATGTGCTCGTGGAAGTGCATGGTTGTGTCTGTCTCCTGGGCTGGAACCATTTGCCAGCCTGTCTTGTTGGGGTGCAGCATCTGCAGAGGAAAGGACTGCCTCCCCCATACCGTAACCCTTTGCACCCTGCTTTGTTCCAAACAAGCACATAGGGCGATGGGTATATACAGTCATCTCCCTGCTCTGCAGCGGGTTACACTGTGGGGGCAAGGGACCAGTGTTCCAAGAACAGGAATGGGAGTCAAGGACTCCACAGCTGTTCTAGGTGGGGGAAAGGGTTGGTCCTGCCCTAATGTGGGATTAGGCACCAGTTTCCTCTTCTGACGCAGGGGGATGGAAGGCAGTTGAAGGGAATCCCTTTCCTTGCCTGCTTTGCTGTGGTGCCATGCTACTCCCTGGCTCCCCAGCAGCCTCTGTCAAATGCTCTCCCTAGCCGGTGGGGAGGGTCTGTGGGACACAAAAGGATCAGTGAAATTCTCCCTCCTGGCCACGTGTGGGGTAGGCATGGGGAAGGTGAGGATTAAATGCTGTGTATAGCAAATGCTGCTCCTGCCCACTGGCTCCAAGCCTGTGACCATCGCTCCAATAAATCTGTCTAGAGGTGACTAGTGTTCCAGTGATGTTGTTGGAGGCGTTTTCTCACCCTCTGGCTTCCGTCCACACTCCACCCATTTAAGTCCCTGTGTTCAGAAGCCCCATCTCTCCTCCAGTGCTGGGGGCGGAGCTGGTTGGGAAGTGGGGTTTTGTTCCCGTGAAACAGACCAAGGAAAAAAATGATAGTTTGTTGAAAACTGTCAAAGAAAAAGGGCCGGTTTTAACTGAAAAACCAGCACTCCCCAATTGTTTGGGTTTTGGCAAGTGCCAGTCCCAAAAAAATGGGGACAAACTTTTTTTTAGGTCGTGGCCAAAACTTTTTGGGTGCCAAAAGGTTAATTTTTTTTTTTAAGTGAAAAACCGAAAAAAGATAATTGGAAACGAATGTTTCCCCTGGAAATGACACTTCTTTTTTAAACATTGTATTCATTTTTATGAAAAAGTTTCCACTGAAAATATGTGACCAGTTCTAATGTGAGCTGTGCTGGCCAGGGAGCAGTTTGCAGTCTGACCAAGGTGGCAGTTCTCAGTCTGGCCAGTAGCGTGCAGCACCAAATGAGGATAACCAGCGTCCTCTCCCCTGGCTGTCGCCTGCTGTTAGTCCAGGTATCTCCAGAGCATTGTGTTCACTGTGAATTTAATTTGTGAATCTAACAGGACCAAAGCCAGGAGCCTGAGTCCAGGGCTAGTGTATTGGGTGCAGGTTCACAGGCTTCCAGGGAGCGGTAGCTCCTTGCACCCAGGAGGTGACCTAAGAAGGTGCTATTCCTTCTTAGGTGTTGATATTCACCAGCTGCCACTCCGAGGTATTCCTCTCTCTCCTCCCCAGGTCACGTGTTCACCCCTCTCCTGTAGGTTCTGGAGCCCGAGCTCCTCATTGCTACAGCTGGTGGAGGCATGAGGCTAATTGATGGAGACGGTTAATGCAGAGCCGCATGCTCTGTGCCCACACTGCTAGCTCTGCTGATTTCAGCTTTGGGCAGGCTTATGGGTGAACTCGGCCGGTAAAGGTAGCTAAGGCAGTTGCTATGGCCGAAGAGTCCCTGAGGGCGCCAACAGGAGAGAAGCCCGGCTGGTGATTGGGCTTGCACACAGAACATGTCCCACAGACCGTGCAAGGCGGTGCCTGTAGCCCCCAGTGCTCTTCTCTTGTTAAAGGGGAATCTCAATTCCCCTCCTCTGTCCCTCCACAGGTGAGGCTGGAGGTTGTTGTTTACCCTGAGCCTGCTTCTCTACCACCTTCCATCTCCAGCGAGTCTATGGGCTGCTCCTCTTTGGGGTCAGCGTCAGCACCTTGAGGACCTGTCCCAGCTACTGCTCCATCCTGATTCTCCAGCCGGCTCGGCCTGCTCCCACTGAGTGGGTGGATGGTTTGCATCCCAGCTAAGCAGCGGGAGGGGGTTCTGCTGAACCCAGTTTCCCCTCTCCAAAGGTCAGTGCTTTATCCCATGGAAGTTGATGGCTGAGCTCCCGTTCATTGCAATGAGCAGCATGGGATTTAGCTATAAAGGCAGGTTTCCTTTTACATCACCCTCTGCAGCAGCATTGTGAAGAGGGAAATTGGCCTCTCCTTAAGGAGATGAAGGCAACAGACCCTCCCCTGACTTTCCACAGACACAAGTGCTTGTTATAAATCCCATCCCCGGTGGGTTACCACCCAACTTGCCTATGTACCCCCTTGCACCCAGCCCGACTGTGCACCAACTCTCCCATCCAAACAAATCTGCACATGCCGTTCAGCCCTATGCCTGCTGCACCCCAATTATGCCTGGGCTGCTGCCTGCGTAAAAGAAATGTGCTGGTTCCAGCTGTGACCTTGGACCGGTCACTCCCTGTCTGAGCTGGAGATCCCCCAGCTGTACAATGGAGATGCTCTACTCGCTCATCTCTGGGGAAAAGAGGATTTAGATGGGCAAAAATATTCTCCATGCAGCACCTTTGCTTACAAACCCAGACCCTGTGAAATGCAGCCAGCTCTGGGAGAGCCAGTGCCCTCCCCAAGAGTGTGGGGGAGGAGGAAGTTAGGCCACTAGGGCAGGGATCTTGCAAAGGGGAGAGTTCATAGCCTCCAGTAACTGCACAGACCTCAGTGTATCCAGCGGGGAAGGGCGAAGGATGGATGCTGCCGGATTTGACCCTGTGGGTTCCAGGGTTTTTCAGCTCTGTCGACTCTCCTCTCCAGCCAGAAAGCAGGAGACCTATGGTTCATTTAGCCCCCTATCCCAGCTCCAACCAAAGCCAACCACTGGCACTTTAGAGGCAGGTGCAAGAAAGCCCCAGCTAGATGGACGTGCAATAACCTGCAAGGTCTCATCCCAATCCCTACTAGTTGGAGAGCAGCTTGTCCTGCGGAGTGTGAGGTGGGGCTCCCTACTAGACTATGTTAACAGTGAGTAGCCCCGTTTAACTGGGAGGAAGGATGGATAGTGGCTGGCACTGTAGCCTAGGACTTAGGAGACCTGCGTTCAGTTCCCTGCTCCACTACGGACTGTGACCTCAGACAAGTCTCTTAATCCCTCTGTGCCTCAGTTTCCCATGTGGATAATAACTAGAGTCCTTTTACCTTTGTTGCTCTCAAAGAGTGCTGCCCTATCTCATGGCAGGCCGAGGGGATGGAGGGGATCAATATGCTAAAGAGTGTGAGGTGCTCAGATACTAGTGGGCTGGCGGCAGGTAAGGACCTACAATGGAGAGCTAGAACTCAGGATGGGCATCTTGTGAGCAACAACCAGCTGCTCGCTATTGGGCTCCATGCAGGAGGCACTGGGGGAAGTTCTTGGGCCTGTGCAATGCTGCTCAGACCAGCCCCTTATCTCTGTTGGAACTGCCGAGGAGTCCAGCAGCAGCGTCCCAGTGGAACAGGTTGGCCAACCTCAGCTCCCTAGAAGCCGCCACCACCGCAGGGGACGTAAGAACCAGCAGCTCTGTTCTTATTCTTGTTTGTCATGTGCAAACATTGGGGGGCGAGGGCGGGAGGGAACCAGTGTGATTCTGAAAATAGCTGTGACGAGGAGAGTTATTTCACCCCAGTATCTCCTCCTGCTGCTGCCCCCACCTGCCCCAGCCTCTGCAGGAAGGGGAGGGGGCTGGGAAGGATGGCAGGTTTTTCCAAGGCAATGGAACTGAGCAGCAGTGGTTGGAGTTTGACTGCAAGTAACCTCACTGCAGCAGCAGCAGCATCCCCTCCTCCCTGCCAGAGGAGGAGGCTGTGAGCATGCACAAGTGACAGGTAGAGAATTTAAAGCTACAGGCGCACACACCGAGCTTGTCCCCCAGCTGCCTAACCTAGTTACTTCCAAGGCACTTTAGTAGGTGCTCCCAGCCTAGCAAGTGGACAGCCAACGCTGGGACAGATCTGCTCTGGGGCTGGAGCTCTGAACAGCGGAGCAGCTTGGGTAAGTGACCTGTGCTGGGCTATGGTGGGGATGGGGAGCTAGTCACCAGGAGGAAAAAGAAGCTCTCTGAGCTGGTCCAGCTGGGAGGCTGGGCTGGCAAAGGAGGGCTCAGGCCTTGGGTTCTATTCTTATAGCAAATCACCTGAGAAATGACTACATTGAAGGGGCCGAGGCGGGGGGAGAACATAACTGCATGGGTCTGTGACTGCAGCATGGGGGCAGGGAGTATGCAATGCTGGGGCTGAACAAACCCCAGGCCCTCTGAGAATACAGCACAGCCTGGGCTGCAGCCCCCGGGGCTCAGGTGGTCCAGAGAACACAGCGTTGTGTCTGGACAGCATCTCAACGAGCCAAGGCCAGAGATGAGGCAGTGCTGGGTCTTGGCCCCAGTGGCAGTGGCTAGTAAGAGTTAGAGCTGCAGGGAGGGTGGGCGAGAGGGCTTGACAATGACCCTGTCAGCCTGTGGGAATTGTTTAAGCGGGACTGGCCAAAGCCCAGATGTATGAGCTGTCCTGTGAACGGTCCTGGCCTGGCTCCCCATGGGGTGGGAGTTGATGGGCCTCATCCATCTGTAACCTGGCATGAAACCTGTGCACCACCAGGATGGAGGAAGAGTGAGACTGCGGCAAGGGGCATCCTGCCGGGAATGAAGGGGTGAGAGAAAGGGAACCCTCTTGGGTCCCTAGATCTCTGTCTGGGGCTCAGCGGGAAAGAAATGGACCAATCCCTCCCCCCAAATCGCACCAGCACCTTCTCCCTCAGCTTAGGGCATGGAGAGATACCTGTCTGCCAACGCAATCCGTGCCTCGAGGATCCACTGAACCTGATACAGGGCCAGCCCTGCAACCTATGGGCCCAAGCCAGAGCGGAGAGCTTCTTCCCCTCTGGTCCCGTTGCTGGAGGGAGAGACCAGGTCAGCTCAGGAGCCGTGTAGTCTGTGTGGGGTTGGGGGCAGGGCTGTGGTTAGCAATTACATGTGTTGTTTGTGCCCTAACATCCATCCAGGGCATAGACCTTATGCCAATCCCCCATCCCAACAGACCAGCAATAAGTTGGGTTTAGCTGGCGGGCGCTGGGGCCCTCGCTGCTGCCCCTAGGTGAGCTACGGCCAGCTAAGCCGTGGGTTGGGTTGATGGACGGGCCACTATTGCCTAAGCCCTTTGTATAACATCCATCATCTGACCAGATGAGCTATTTTATCGACTGCAGGCAGCACAAACACAACCCGCTGCCGCAGGCGCTTCTCATCCAGGCAGAGAGTCACTCCGAGCTGCCTAGATTTCTCCTCTCCTTTCATTTCCAGTAGGAATAAATATTCAGCAGTTCCAGTGGGCGGCGAAGGCTTTTAGCCACACAGGTTCCTCTCCATTCGCATTATGCTGGCTCCAGCAGGAAGCAGCCTCTTGCTCCCGAGGGGAATCTTCCTAGAGCTCAGTGTAACCCCATCTCCACTCCAGCCCTGGAAATGCACAAAGGAAGAAGCAACGGATTATTCTCTCCAGCAAACTGTGTGTGTGTGTGTGTGTGTGCGCGCGTGTGTGTGAGCGAGAGAGGCAGAGGGAATTGGAGGCACATGTGTTGTAAGGGTAATTAAAATATGTTTACAGCAAGATCACAGTGATTTTCCAGCACTACCACTGATTTAAAAACCTCTTAGGGGAGCTTCCGCATTCTGTCCCAGTTTCCAGAACCCTGATGGGGATAGTATAGACTACAGAAGGTCTTATGTGTTCTGCGTCTGTGCAGTGTGTCCCTGATCCAGGACCGGACTCTGAGGTACTACTGCAGTACAATTAGTAACAATTATTAAACACTATTATTTTATTATATAGGCACAAGGAATCACGTGCTGCAATTGAATAGCACTAAACTGAAAGCCAGTGAAAGGAAATACCATTCCATTCTTCCATTCCCACTAGGTATTGTTATCTTTCTCTATGATTATACTCAACCTGTGGAACTCCCTGCTGGAGGGGGTCACAGAGGGTGAGGTTTTCAAAAGCACTGAAATGACCTAGGAGCATTAGTCCCAGTGAAAGTCCACAGGACTTGTGCTCCTGAGTCATTTAGGTGCTTCCAAAAATTCCATCCCACGTGAAATGCTGCAAGTAGGATTTACTCAGGGCTTGGCAAATTTTAATCACTATTTCAATAAAACATAAGTGCCACACACACTAAACAGAGTGCACAGATCTTTTGCTTCACGGCCAAACCTCAAGTACACAAGCCTCAGAAGGAACACACAGATTCACACCTATGGCACCATACAGCATCGAGTTTTGTGCCATTCTCTGTTTCACCAGCTATTAACCATGGCTGGAGGCAGATGCCAGATGAGGTACATGGGGTTAACAGACCAGTGGATGTACTCCCTGACCCAGGATACAGTCTAATCCTATGCGAGGTCCATGGGTCACCCACAACTCCAGCCCAACACCCACCAGTACAGGTTATCCCTCAGCCAGGATGGGGGAGAGAATGCCTGTTGTCAGACCCTTCTGGGTACAGCCACCAAGATAGGCTCACACCTCTATGAACAGCCACGTCCCCTTATTTCCCATATGGCTGTACCAAAGGCACAGTGGCCAATGCAAAGCTAGGCTCAAAGCCCAGCCTAGAGAGCTTGTTTCTTACACCCAAGCCAGCAGGCAGGATCCTAACTAGGAGTCATGGCCCCACTTCCCCAACAAAGAGACCAGACTGTCCGCCTTTCAGGGCAGGGGCTGTCTAGACCCCTTGTCTGTACAGTGCCTAACACAAGGGGACCCTGATCTCAGCTGGGGCCTCTAGGCCCGACTGCGATGCAAATTAATAACAGAGCTAGCGTTATGACTCCTGACTCGCTCCGTTCACACAAGCCGCAGCAAGTAATGGCTCTAAGGTGGGCTGGGTTTTGCGGGGTGGTGTCAGAATGTGTGTGAGTTCAGTGCTGGGGGAGTTCCACCCAGGAGAACAGCAGTGGGGACCCTCTCGTGAAATGGCCACACCCAAAGGGACTGAATCCTCTGCTTGTCCACTACATGGGCAGCCAGGCAAGCTGCTCTGCCACCGACTCACCTGCGCATTTCAGTCTGGCCTCAAGGTATTATTAATCATTTGTATTGTGGTAGCAACCGAAGGCTCCAGCCAAGCTCAGAGCCCCATTGTGTTAGGTGCTGTATAGACAGAATGAGAGACAGTCCCTGCCCCAAAAACCTAAGTTTGACAAGAAGTGTTATTAGCCCAAGGGGAGTTCAGTTTCCACAAACTATTCACTCCTGAAGCTGCCAGAAAGGGGGGGTAATTCATACCAATCGCGGTGGTTTCTGAGCTGTAGACACTTACGTCCTAGGGACTGGACTGAGACCCCACCAAGCTCATCTTACACATGGGAATGCCCACAAGAGGGGATCCCCTTTCCAGTGGGGAGTGAAGCCAAGTGATGGACAGGATGGGCAGCGGTTTCTGAAAAAGGCAAACCCAGAATTGTTGAACTTCTGCTATTAAAGAAAAATGACACAAACAATCCAGAGCATAGCATCGACTTGTGAGCTTACATGGAACAATAATTGGCTCCAACACATAAACCCAGGAATGTCTTAGGCTGGGTATAGACCAAGGTACCTAAGGGAGTTAGGCACCCAGGATAGGATTTGCTTAAGGCCTGGCTGCTAACATCCATTGATTTCAGTGGAAGTTAGGAGCCTAAATACCTTTGTGAATCTGGGCCTAAGTGACTGGGGAGCCCAAGTCAGAGTGAAAGTCAGCAGCACTCAAGTCATTTAGGAGCTTTTGGAAACTTCACTCCCCCCACCCCCACCCCCAGCTTCCACTGACTTTCAATGGGATTTGAGGCACTTAACTCCCTTCTGGCGCTTGTGTAAACCCACAAGATAACTTGATTATTTTGGTGCCTTAAATGAACGAAGAATTCACCACACTGAGTCTTGTTCTATGTATGAACAAGTCCCCTCACTGTCCTCTGCCCGGGGTATTCACAGCTCCCCAGCCTTTCTAATGCCCAGCCTGGAGATCTTTGTACGCCTTTAACCATCCCTCACTACTGCCCCTGGCAGCAGGTGGCTCCCCTGCCATTACACATGGCTTGAGCCTGACTCCCAATTTGACTGATTCCCAGTATGAGTTTGGTCCAACCCATCGGCACACAGTCACAGTGTCCAGCTGTCTCCCACCCTCCCCGTGACTGGCTGTGGCAGCAGGAAAGCTCTCCACGGCTCAGCAGATGGTTTTCTAATTAATATCCTCATTAATGTCGCTCATTTCCATATGTCTTCCATGCTTTAAGAAATGTTGTGGGTGATATGTGTGACTAATAGCGATGGCAGGAGCCAGGCAGAGAGGTGCCGGGGCTGCGTGAGCTCTGGTGAGGAATTCTGATATGAGGTTGATGGGGGCCTGAATAGAGAGTGAGATTCCTCTACTCCGAGACACCCCACCACAGCCTGGCTGAGGCACCTCGGTCCTGACCTGCAGCCCCCATCCCCCAGCTCCTCTACCCCACCGTCACCTCCCCACAGCTCTGCTGATACATATTCCTGACCTGCACACCCCAGGTATTCCCGTCCTAGGACATGCCCCCACCACCTTGCTGGTGCACCAATCTGCAGTATCCCTGCTACTCTCCCTGCACAGCTCTGCTGACACACTTCATTCCCCAGGGGCTCACCCTAGTTTATTTTAGGGTTCCCACACAATCCTCCTACAGCTGTTCCAACCCTGGGGCTCTCCTGAATGGAAACAGCCATTTGCCAAAGGGGGTGTGCATCTGTGCACGCGTCCATATAGGGCAGGGAGTTTTTGATGAATCAACCTCAGAATCTGTTTGAATGTTGCACTTCTCTCATTAATTACATCCAGTAACTCTGGGGGGCTTTGGGGGATGGTCAGGCTCCCTGATCTTAGCTGCCTATCCAGGGTCAAATTACTCCTCACAAGCCAAGCTGGTAGCTGTCCTCTGTCAGCAACCAGCGGACAATGTGGGTATCCCAGGGGTGCATCCCTATAGGGAACGGCCTTTAGAAAATGTCAGTTGGTGCCAGAGCCGTGGGTGCAGCACTCCATGTTCTCCAGCCTCCGGAGAAGTGGGCCCCTGTTTCTTGGATGGGCTGGGTACAAACGCCGCTGTCTAGCTGCTGCGTTCTGTCAGTAACACAGAGCATGGCCACTGCGGCAGGCCCAATCATGTCATTCAGAGCCAGAGGGGGGATCATTTGGGGTGGGCCAGCAGGGACGAACAGCAGGCCCAGGCCTGCAGGATTAGGCACCCCAGGGCTGCCCTTACCTTTAGGGACCTGGACTAGACAGCGCGTGGGTTCCTGCCCCTTTAAGAGAGGCTGTTGTGTGGGCTGGGGAAGTAAGACCTGCCTGGAAAGCCCAGCCTCCTGGTTCTGACATTCAGCAGAAGCTGGCACCCTGCTGGAAAGGACCCAAGGGATGGATGGAGGCAGCTCCTCTGCCCAGCCCCAGGAGAGGGGTTCCTAGCCGGCTGCTTGGCTGAGAAAGCAGCCCCGCCAGCCCCACCTGCCAGGCAATGGGGAAGCCAGCGCCAGCTGGGGACTGATCTGCAGCGGGTAACGTGCACATCCCCGGGAAGCTGCAAATGGGATGGGAGGCTGGTGCCTGCAGTAACCTGGCAGCCTCTTCATTGCGCCGGTCTCTCTCTCTCCGGGTGCACGCTCAGCCCGGGCGCCGGCGTCTAGCGCTCCCTCCCCGAGCCGCGGCCACCGCAGGCAGGAGACGTCGCCCCTTTGTCTGCAAAGGCGAAGGTGAGGGCGTTTGCACCGAGACACGCCGCCCCATGCCGGCGGCTCGGGGGCTCCAGGCAGCCGGCGGCGGCGCAGGGCGCTAGATCCGTCGCCTCTGCAAGGACCGGGAGCAGGGCCGAGCCGGTAACGCGCTAAGGTGAGTGTTGCAAAGCCCCCCCCCCCTTTTGCTCCCCGGCTGTCAGCCTGCAAAGCCCCCCCAGGAGCCCCACTCCCCGGCCCACTCGCGGGCGGGTGACCTGCGTGTGGGGGGGGGACGATCAATTTTTGCTGCAGTTTTGGGCGGGGC